GACGACGCCAGATTAGAGTCCGGCAGTTGGATTTCAATACAGCGACCTTTCCTGACCAGGATAAACGTCCTGCTGTTGAGTTCCAACCCCGCGACCTAGTCATGGTGCGTGAGCATGCATCCGCGGATCCGTTCGCTCCGGTTTGGGCGGGGCCATTTCCCATAGCCGTTAGAAGATCTCCACTGATTTACGAAATTGATAAAAACGGATACCAATTCCAGTATCACGTTGACCAACTGAGACCAGCCCCAACAGGTAACCAGTCTCCAGTTGATGATGATGACAGTAGTTCGGATGTTAGCAGTGACAGTGATGACCCCGGGGGTCCACCGTCGGATCATCGAAGTGCCGATGATCACCATCCCGAGCTACGACAATCAACGTCTTTCGCAAACCAGTCATCTTCCAATCGTCGTCCCCCCACGTCTACCTCAAACCTTCCGACGTCCGTTGACGTCCAAGAACCCTTAGCATCTGGTCACATGTCTAAGGACATTCCTGCTTAACCGAGCCCACCAGCGTTTCATAACGCACCTTCTATAATAAAATATCCAATGTCTTATGACACCCCAGCTCCTACGAGCTCAACAGCGTCCCCTGCTCACCAATCTCGACAGGGCACGCCATTAGTTTTAAGTCTTCCGACCAACGTCGAAGAACCTGCTCCTACGAGCCAGCCAGCGTCCCCTGCTCGCCAATCTCGACAGGGCACGCCTTTAGTTTTAAGTTTTCCGACCAATGTCGATGAACCTGCTCCTACGAGCCAACCAGCGCCCCCTGCTCGCCAATCTCGACAGGGCACGCCTTTAGTTTTAAGTTTTCCGACAAACGTCGATGAACCTGCTCCTACGAACCAACCCGCGCCCCATGCTCGCCAATCTCGACATGGTACGCCATTAGTTTTAAGTATTCCGACAAACGTCGATAATCCAGTTCCAACTAGCTCAACCGCGCCCCAAGCTCGCCAATCTCGACATGGCGCGCACTTAGATTTAAGTTTACCTACGTCCGTTGACGTACCTTCAAACCAGCAATCTGCCCTCAGCAGCAGGTGGCTCCGATCCGTCTCAGAATTCGACGAACCACGGATTCGACTGGACAACCCAGTTCCTACGAGGTAATCAGCGCTTGGCCATTTCCACTTATATACCGAAATACCAGTCCACACTCACAAAATCCCGAAGCCCACTCGCCGGAGGGGGGGAGTGTCGTATTCCACCCTTCGAGCGAGCTTCAGGATTTCAGAACACCCCGTATATTCATAGAAGCCATAATCATGTACCTACGGATATGCCGGAGACCGTTGAATTGGAAAGGAGGCGAAACAATCAATTAACCTACCTTTCCAATCCAAACCACAAACCCACCACGGTTGCGAAATCAATCGCCGTCGGCCGGGCAAAATGAAAAAGCCTCTATAAGAGTCTTCAGACATCGATTCTCCAGGCGATAGCGCTTCCAGAGCGTTAAGACCAATTTCACCGATGTTTCCAATGGCACCCGCATCGCGACCGATCTCGCCTGGTGTCTGCCATCCCGGCGCGCAGTGACCACTGCCGCTACTCTCGCAACCTGCAGTTGAACCCCGGGACGCTTCAAGGCGATATTTGGTAACAGTAATCAGAAATTTCACCACTCTTTCGAAATGGTCAAGGACGCTATCGCCAATAACTCCAAAAGTTATTGAGCGATCGGTGTCAAAATTTAATGCAGCACTCCTCAAGTCGCTAGCATTATCTTGCTAAATTTTCGTCCGAATCGGATGAGCCAAAACGCCGTTATACGGGGAAACGCGGATTTCACGTTTTCCGCGTTTTCAGCCGTTCCGCTCATTCGATCTCGGCCGAACCCTCCAACCACACTAGAGTATCGCTAGGTGGTTGTCATATCCAAATTCGAACCGAATCGCCCGACTACTAACGGCCAGCTAAGCCATAATAGGTTTTCACGCCTTTAGAGCTGCCGCCGAAAGTATCCGCGCGATCTCGGTCGAACCCTCCAACCACGGCACTATGTCATGCCGTGTATCTAAACACAAAATTTCAAATGAATCCATCCAGAAATAAGACCTCCGTAGGCCCTTTTACGAGGACGGGGAAAATATCACCTATCTTTCCAATTTCCCCGTCTTTGGGCCGAAAGGACCGTCTTCCGAAGGTTCCACCGCTCTGGCGGTTGGATACGATGCTCGGCAGCCCAAGCCGAGACCGCGGGTAGAGTTTTTCCCAAACCTGGAAAAAACTCCAAAATCCCCGATGCCGACATCGACAATCCGTAGAGGCCAGAGGGGAACGAGTCCCGGCGTTGATGGGGACGATGGATGATTTTGGTTCGAGATTTTGGCGGACAATTCAAGGCCCGGTCCGCCAAAAGTATGGAAATCCCACAAAAGTGATCGAACGTCTACTTTTGACGTTTACAGTACTTCAGTGGGAGTACATGAGACGGAAAGCGATACAGAGCGAATTGTAACAAATCTTATTCATGGTAAATAACTTGTATATGTTAATTGTGAATCTTTGTTGTTTATTAATTTTATTCAATATATACTTTTAACATATCTTCCACGGTTTGATTGAAAAAACCCTGTCATCAAGCTCAAGAACTTTGGAGCTCAAGCTCACAGGCTCGCTTCACGAGGCTTCCGTCGAGGCTGCCATTCCTCGACGTGATATTGATAGTGCTTTGCAACCACTACTCGCTTAACGAGACAACCACCCGAGGTAGCCTAGCCTGAGGTGAAGACCCTGTTCGATAGCCCCCTGCATCGAAACAGCGGTAAACTCCAGGATCCACTTGCGACCTGCGAAACCGTCCGAGACTGACCACCTCCGACGAAGATCCTGTGCGATAGCCATTCGCATCGACACAGCGATACTTCAGGCTCCTCCAGAGACCTGCATACCGTCCGAGGCTTGCGACCCTCCGACGAAGACTTTGATTCCGACTGTGCCGGCTCCATCGAGAGACCCGCACCTCGGTACAAAGTACACACATAGGCTCCTACGAGACCTACAATTCAGACTCCATTGAGATCTGCAAATCCGAGGCAATCTTCCTCGTCAAACTTCTAGGCGGTCACTCGTCGAGGCAACCTTCCTCGTCAAACCCCTACGAGGCATTTACTTTGTGACCTACGGGCACAAAGCAATAGTACGCACGTTATTGTGGCGGCGTACTTCCAAATTTAGTAAAGAAGTTATCCTTACTTCTAGGGCTCCCTCGAGAGACCCACATTTAATAGTAGAGTCAGTGCTTACTACAAGACGTCTACAAGACTTTCGGAGCAAAAGAGCTTGCTCCGACATTGTCGTACGGGGAAGATGAACCCCTGCGACGCGACTACGAAATCCAGTGCTACGAGGATTGGTGCCCTCGAAGGTAATACTACGAATAATAAATTAGATCGTGTGAGTATGATCAAGACTGAGCTGGACGAGACCTCGTCCCAAATCGGAGAGACCAGCGGTCACACGAACTGCCCTCACACCTGTTTGCCGGCGAAAGATCTCTCGACATTCGGGGTGAAAGAGGAAATGGCCTCTCCTGCCAACGCTATATCGATGCTCCGCGAAGAGTCTGAGGGACCGAAGATGGTGGCTCGCGGAAGTACGCGGCACGGCGCAGCCACAGCGCCGTACGCGTTGAGGTCCGCTGCTACGCGAGTTACTGGCACCATCTCGACCACCCCTCACGACGCACTCGCGGATCCGAGTAGCAACCAAGAGTTACCACGAAGTGGGTCACCCACAGATACTCGGGACGAGGTTCAACCTACGTACCAACTGGTAGGGTCCGGGGAATCCCATGAGTCCAACCACGGTTCACGGTCTGGCCCCGATAGCGGCCTACTTCCGATGTCGGGTGTTTCGGAACGTGAGCTAGCCGTCGGTGACGACGCTACAGTTCATTCAGCTTTTTTACGAAGTGGTATCCAGCGGGAGCAATGCGCATCGCGTTCGGGTGCCATAGTAAGCGAAAACCCCTTAGCCGACTACGTCATAGGTGACGAAGCCGGCCTTTTTTATCAAAACAATACTTGTACGTCGCCCGTCCATTCTCATGATTTCCCCCGAACATACGATCATCGCCTAAGTGGTCCATATCAAGAAAGTCTAACCCGACACGACGCTCAACGCGGAGCTCGACCTTCTTCGTCGAGATCTCCCCCGCGAGCTCGTGTCCTAGACACCACGTCTGTAGGTCATATCCACCACAGATTCCAATCGTCAGAGAATATAGTGCGACCGGGCGTCGATAGCGACGATCCCCGTGAACTCCGTGCGTTCCTGCCGCGGAACCCGGTCAAGGGAACTAACATCCCAGATCACAGGTTGCGACATGGTTTCCAACGTGGAGCTCGATTAGAACTTCTGATGTCTCCACTGAGGACCCATGCCGACCGAACACCGCATTCAGATCATATTCCGCGACATGGCGCTCGACGTGGAGCTCGAAGTCCTGCTTCGACGTCTTCGCGGCGAGCCCATGTTGCTAATTCTCCGCACAATTCTCAAATATTAGGCACCAACGATCACATATCACGACATGGCGCCCAACGTGCGCGTTATTCTTGCGTCCCGTGACACCCCCGGGGTTTCGGAAAAGCATCTCTGAGTGTTGGTGTTTTGTTTTTATTCTATCAAGAAAAAATGGTTAAATACATGGCAAAATACAGTTATATATGAAATAGTTGGTACTGAAAAATAGGTTAGTGTATGTTAGAGTGTCTTTGGCACTGAGGGGGGGCTGTCGAACGCTGGCTGCTCCGGCAGTCCAGCTGGCGGCTGGTTGGCTCTGCTGGGCCGGTCGCTTGGTTGGACCGCCTACAGCGGGTAATGACTGGCTCGGGGGTTTGGTCTCTGCATGTGGCCTAGCATGGCTAGGGCCTGGTGTCGCCTCAGGGTAGGCTATCAGTGGACATGGAGGACGGTCGTCTTCCAGACGTTGGACCCGTCCGTGGTCCGTAGATTGCCGTTCCGGTTGGCTGGTTGGTTTTATTAGAGATGGTGGCTTGCTCGGAGGTTTGCATGTGGCCTAGCATGGCTAGGGCCTGGTGTCGCCTCAGGGTAGGCTATCAGTGGATATGGAGGGCGGTCGTCATCCAGCCGTTGGACCCGTCCATGGTCCGTAGGTTGCCGTCCTGGTTGGCTGGTTGGTTTTATTAGCCGACCGGGGTGGAGACCGTCCTGGTCTTGGGCTTCGGTATAGGGTAGTCGTGGCTCTGTTGGCCGGTCGAGGTGTGGACCGTCCTCGTCCTGAGCCCCGACTTGGGGTGCCACTGGCTCTATTGGCTGGCCGGGGTGCAGGTCATCCAGATATTGGTCCTCGGCTTCTGCGGCTTCCGGTGGTGGCATCTCGTCTTCCTCGTCCGAGAAGACGTCATCATTGACTGGATTGCCCGGTGGTGCATCTCTGATCTTCCAGGTAGACGGTCAGAAGTGGCAATTCGGCATTGGCTGGGACGACCTCAGTGGTAATGTTGTTGAGGTCGCCGACAAGGGCTTCGACATCGATGTTGTCGAAGGGGTTTGGTTCGATTGCCGAGAGAGGCAATTCGACAATCGGACCTGGATCTGGGAGGCTCACTGCCTCGGTGGCTGGGCTGGAGCCCTTTCTGAGGTCTGGCTCGGACCTGCAGCAGGTTGGCTTGGGGCCGGACGGGTACTGGTGTTTCGTTGAGCTTGGATGGCTAGGTTCAAAGCCTGCAGAAGCTCGACGGTGCTTGGCGTAGATCTCTGCGGTGTAGGAGGTCCAGGTTGGGACGGTGGTCCTTGATGCTGGTAATTATGGAAGGACACCTCGCTGTCCAGCAGGGAAAGCCTCAAAGGCACTTGTGGTGGGGTACCAGGTAGGTACGGTGATGGCTCCATGTCGGATGGTTTAAAAAAATATATTTTTTTTGTTTTTTTATTTTTATTTATTTTTTTATTTTATTTATTTTATTTTTATTTTTTTGGATTTATTTTTATTTAATTTTATTTTTTATTTTATTTATTTTATTTTTTTTTCAAAAATGGACTTCAGACCTAGGGTCCTGGTGGACCTGGAGCGGACCTAGTATGGGCCTGGAGGACCTGGAGCGGACATGGTGCGGACCTGGTGGACCTGGAGTACGCCTGGTGGAGGCTTGGTGGACCTAGGGTGGACCTAGGGAGGACGTAGTAGACCTGGAGTAGGCCTAGCGTGGACGTAGTGGACCTGGTGGACCTGGATTGGACCTGGTGGAGGCCTAGTGGACCTGGACTAGGCCTGGTAGTCATCGAAGATGCTCGAAGGTGCATCGCTGGGATCGCACAGGCTCTCTTGCCTGTGTAGGTAACCTGGATATCGGTTACTCGAGCCTTACGTGCTGGACGCCATGTCCACGTAAGCGGTGGTTTCCGGACCCGGTTGGCGATGGGTACGTGGTTGGGGGTATCTCTAAGAATCCCCAGGACACGCTGGATGCGTGCAGGAAGCGTTTCTGCACGGCCGCGGCTGCTTCTGGGGATGTGGGGTTCGGCTCGCGTTGTGGAACGATAGGTGTAGGGTTCCCCTTAATTAATAAGTAAAGGGGAACTTGTTAACGAATTCTTTTTTCCCTATTTTGTGGAATGGCAGACCAAGCCGTGCCACAAGCTGAGGGGAACAGCCTTAATGTACCCCGAAAGGTCGCTGATACTCAGTACTACTACCACTTTCTAACTATTGGTGGGGAAGTTTCCCCCGTGTGTATTTAAAAAATTGGTAGCGACTACTAGCCACTAAAGGAGCGGACAATGAGAGGTTATTCAATTCAAACACTATAATACAAGTGTGAAGACCAACTCAGAGATGCTTCTCGTGTCAAATCTCGACTGAGAGTGAGCTGCCGAGGCAAAACTCGGTGTCATATTCGGCGTGATTTTCGGTGCGGTGGGCGGAGCCTAGCTCTACCGCACCGAAAACATATAAAAGCGCGCGCAGCCAAGCCGCGCTAGCTCATTCGGGTCGCAGCTACACTAGCGTGCAGAGCTCCTTTAGACAAGCGACGGCATCGTTTTGTCTTTAGTACCATTATATTAAAGAATTCGTTTTATTTCTATTGATATAGAAAGCAGGCCTGGGACCTGTAGGTAACCCAGAATCAAAAAGAATTCGAGATCGTCGTCTACTAGGTAGTAGAAACCAGATCGGGAATCTGGTGGCGAAGAGGAAAGGTAGAAAAGAATTCGTAGTGGTGGAAATGTTGAAAAAAAAGAGAAAGAAAAAAAAAGGGGAAAAAGATAGCTCCCAAACAGCAAAAAAAAAATAGCAGGAGAAAAAGAAACAGATCTCCTTGGAAAAAGAGCATTCCAAAACTCAGTTTTGAAAAGAGGCCATAGGTCCGACACCAGGAGGTATACAAGTATACCTCCACACTCTTAAAGAAAGAATTCGACGTTTAGAGAAAGAATTCGAAAGGTAGATCGATAACTAGTGAGGTATCGAGGTTTCGCGTCTGGCTAAATACCATGGAACCGGTATCTGAGTCGTATGCCGTCGGCGGCTACCACGACCGCTGGGACAGAGTCAACCGCGGGGCTAGCGGGGCAAACGAAGCCGCGATGGGAGTCGTCTTCGACGGCCCCCAACTACGTCGTAGGGTCGCGGTGACGTCACATGGCGCCGACCAACGTGGGTCTCGCGTGTTAGAGGAAGATGTCCGCGTCACCCATAGTGCAAACCGCGAGGAACATTCACGCGATAACGGCGGAATTGGCGGTAATGCGCACGTGACTTGGGAACGCGAAAACAACACGTTAGATGATGGATTCATAAGATCCGCGACGCGCGTTTTACAATCTACGGCTTCAGAGGATCGGTTTTGGGATTTTACGCTAGACGAGACGCCAGCGAGGGTTCTGGGTGAGCCCATACGTGAAACCCAGTGGCGCCCACAAGTACGAGATCAAGAGTCACTCGAGACAACGCAAACCATGAACACAAGTCTGATTCTGGTAGAAGCGGTTCGAAATTTAACGCAGGAGGTCGCGGCTTTAAAAATTATGACGCTCCCACCGCCGCGTGAAACCGAATTAGATTGCAGTTTTTCGAGTAAAGATGTGGAGGAACCCGAAGTTTTCCTTCAGAAAATTGAAGATTATATGGCTACGAACCGGATTCCGACGGCGAAGTTTGCGCCTATAGTACGTCGCGCGCTAGAGGACGAGGCGTTTTCCTGGTTTCGGCGAATCGAACGGCCCGGGTTGCCTTGGCAGGTTTTCAAGGCTCAGTTTATAGCGAAATATGATTCCACAACGGTGCGTGCGAATTTACGTAAACGGCTTTATGGTCGCCCGCAGTTCCCTGATGAAGACGCGTATGGGTTTATTATGGAAAAATGGGCGCTTTATCAGCAGTTAGCGCCTACGACGACAGCTACGGAACGTTCGGTGCATATTTTGGAGCTATTACGGCCGGTTACTCGAGCCATTATGCGGGGCAGGTCGTACTCCAGTCTAGAGGCCCTTGTTGAGATTGTGGGCCAAGTTGAAGGCGATCTTAGAGAAGACCGCTCGCGTAATGCGCCGAGGGCCGTTCCAGTTGACCAACGACCGCGGGAAGAACGACGACCACCGCCACCGACGACGAGAGCGTGTTACAATTGCGGGGGCGAACAGGAATTCTTACGGTTCTCGTTGCCAGTATCCTGTTCCATGTTTCCTTGGGGTGGGATAGAACATGTGTTCATGGTCAAAGGCAAATCCGTGCTGACGTATCAAATTCATCCCCAAAATAAAGTCATCCTCGATCTCCGCTACTAAGATTCTATGGCGCAGTCGATTACATCCTAGCTGTAGCTCTACCTCTACTTCACCCATAACAGGAGTAACCTCCCCAGTCACAGAACGTAAACTGAGGCTTTTTCCCAATGGCTGTAGTCTGGAGTTGACATTACTGGGTCTCATCATGGATACTGCAGCTCCAGTATCAAAAGTAATTACTGTCTTCTTGCCTTTGACTGTTCCCTCCACCACCAAGCTACCCGAGTCCCTGGCGAATCGTCTCACGGAAAAAGTCCTGGGGGCTACGCTTGGGTTAGTCAGCATTCGCCCCGTAATGCTGACTAATTTGCGTTTCCCTGGTTAGACACGCCGGGTTTCCTGTCCCTGGATGGTGAGCGAGATGACAATTGCACTCGACAGTCCCTCTTCCAATGCCCGATCCGTCCACATCGAAAGCACTCATTCTTCCTACTTGGACTTCGTTGTCTCCCTCTCTGCATGGAATCCAATTTCCCCAAAACTTTTTCTAATAGTGCGATAACGTTATCGGATTCGGCATTGTTTATCCTTGCGGTATTCGGATGGGAAACTTTCACAGTGACAGCTCGGATCCTTGGCCTCGATATGTTGTAGGTGGCCTCCATTTCCAGTGCACGAATGAGAGCTTCACTACTCTTTTTAAATCCTACCAGTCGCAGACTTCTTTTTATCTCAGCATCTCCGAGACCATCGATGAAATTTTGTGCAACCAGTTGTTCCTTGAATTCTTCTGGCGCCTCTGGATACGCTAGATGTATTAAGCGTCTAACCTCGGTCTCAAATTCTTGAAGGCTCTCTCCAGATTTTTGAGTCCTTGTTTTCGCTTGGACCTGGTATAATTGTCTTCTGTGCTGCTCTCCATAACGCAAGTCGAGTGCAACAGTTAAAGCACTGTAATCCCTCTGTTGGTCCAACGGCATTATTTGTAACAGTTCGAGAGCAGCACCCTGAAGAGATATCACCAAAGCGGTGGTCTTCTCTTGGTTATCCCAACCGTTGGCATCTGCAGCAGCGTTGAATTGTCTTCTGTACATGGTCCAGGATGTAGTTCCATCGTACGTCGGTGGTTTGATTGGTGAACCTGCTGCCACTGGTCTCTCTATTTGGCTTTGTCTCTTTAACCTAGACATCTCGGTTTCCAGTCTTACAATTTGGCCTTTAACTTCCGTCTCTAATATTTCCACCTTATCTTGGGCATCACTATCTCGTCCTTTTACTTCCTGGAAGTTTCCCTTAACCTCCATCACTTTACTACGCACTGACATAACTTCTGCAGTTAAGTTTTCTATCTTATCGAAAATTCTACGGCTTCGTATCTCCTGGTCCTCAAGTATTTTCTCTATTCGAGCCTGTTCTATAGTCTTTTGTTCTTCAATAATTTTCTGTACCCGTTCTTGTTCTTCTCGTTTTTCCATTTGTCTTCTAGTTTCTTCTTCTTGTTTCTCTTTCTGTCTTTTACCCCCTTCTTCTTGTTTCTCTTTCTATCTTTTAGCTTCATCTTCTTGCCGTTTTTCCTCCCACGTAGCCATGAAATTACTGATAAATAATTTCATTTGTTCTTCCATCTAGGCAGCTTGTCTAGATTTAGCCATTTTTTTTCAAATTGTCAAAACTTGATTAAAGCTACTGTTCTGGGTTCCTCTGTAGGTGTATAATGCAGCGGCGAGGTCGAAAGTTGTGTATCTCTGTATTTCCGAATAGAATTTTCTAGAACTAGAACGAAAATGCGGTCCTGGATTTATTTCGACACGACAAACACAACGGTGAAGTCGTCGGAAATTGTCTATCTCTATTAGTTTCAGAATAGAACTTTCTGGAACTTTCGCGAAGATCCACAAATCCAGTTACTTTTCGCGTAAACAGTCACTACTGGTAACGCACTGTCCAAGCCGATTAATGTCTTTCACTTTTGAACACGTTTACAGTCACTTCCGGGTACTGAATTTTCTAGAATGTCCGAGAAAATGTCCTGTCCAATCCAGGTATCCCACTTCTGACACCAGTTGTCACGAAATTTACGTAGTGACAAAACCCTAGGTTCGATTAATTAATACACTTCTTGATAATTAACTATTTATTAACTAATTACACCAACTAATTACTAT